GACGGTGTTGGAGGGCCATTTATCATTACACTCACCACATACCAGCTACCAGTGGGGAGCAGAACAGTGTTATGAAGCCAGTTCATAGACAGGAATGTTTAGGAGACCAAGATTGGTAAAGGCCAATGCAAAATTTGGCCAGAACACCAGGGTAAGGCCCCTACTCTTTTTGAAAAACACAATTTTTAATGACTACAGAGAGTTAGGACCTCAGCTTTACATCATATGCAAAGGATGACACCTTTTGACAGTAAAGTGTTCCTGTCACTATACTGGGGCATAAGGATCCACACAGACTGCAGGGTGAGCGCCCCCTACTGGCCCCACTAACACCAGCAGCAACCTTATTTAAATACCATTTAGATTCTGTTTAACAAACAAAAAAAATATATATTAATATTTTCTCTGTTATCATTCTGGTTAATATACAAAAAAATTGGAAAGAAAAGACTTCGTACATTGGATAAGTGAAAAAAAAAATTGCAAGTTGACCATGGGTCAAGTCTGTCTCAAGCCCACAAGAACAAAATAACATGTAAGGTTCATTTAGGGAAGTAGAGAAGGGTGTGAGATATTTTTATGAAATTCATCTGTACAGTCAGAAGATGTACTGACAGAAGACTTGTGTCATTACTAATATAAAAGTTCTTAGTGTCTTTTTCCTGCAATCACATTCTCGTTGAATAGACATGCACATAGCACAAGTCTAGGGAAAACAGAAGGGAGCCTTTAATCGCCTTCTGTGACTGAAAGATAAGCAAGGGTGTACAGAAAGCAGACACTTAAATAGAGGTCTTTTCTGAGAAATTAGGAAAGAGTGATGTTGTAAATGCTTTCAAAGAGACATTTTCTTAAGTGGCTGAGGAATATGGCACCTACCTCTATCCAGCTTGTTTAAAGGGCTGCTGTGAATCTGATTATTTTCACTGCTGCATGACTCTTGCCCTCTGTGAGATGCTTTTTGAAGAGACTTTGTTCTTGTGCCAGATCCTAAATTCCTAATGCCTCCATCTGGGATACTGAGCACTGCTGCAGGTTCAGGCCAAACAAAGCACAGGACAAGACATGTTAATAATGTTTTACACATTACCAGAGCCACTTTCTTTAAATTAGAACTTGCTCATACACCAAAGCAATATCTGGATGCAGACATTATTTCATGTACTCACATCACAATTCAATTTTGAAAAGGAATGAATAGAAAGAGTGATGCGTTAAAATAACTCTATTCATCTTAAAAAGTTTAAGGTTTCAGTTTATTTAATTCAAACTTAATAGCTTACAAACATGTTGTTTTCCATAATACTTCAGCAGACCAATGCTGAAGCAGTTAATGAGGGGATATATGCTAAGGGTTAAAGAAGAGTACATTAAAATACAGGGAATATATATGATCCCTTCAATTGAATGAAGATTGGCATATAGAAGTATACATACTACTAGTTGAACTTCAGGTCCAAAGTGGAATAAAAACATTAGGCATAATAAATATGTTGCAATGGTTTAGTCTTTGGTACTTAACATATTCCCATCGATAAGAGACACAAATTATAAATGGGTTGGGGATTTCAACATCCCCTCTGTAACGGCATGTCGTAAATATGTCAGCAACATAGCATAGACACACTTCAAACCAACTGTTTCTTGGGGAAATAATCTCAGTTGACAGAATCTCAGTTGAATAATAACAGGGGCAGGTATTCTGGCCTTCTGAGCCAGCATGAGCAAAATGAGTAGAGGCAAACAGTATCAGATATCAAAACATCAGGTCAGACTTTATTCATCTTATTTATTTCTCGGTGCTGCAGCTGCTTCAGGCTTAAAGGAGTACATTTCATACCATCAGGGTGAGCACATCAGATTAAAATTTCATTCAAAATGTCAGTAGTTCAAGTCATGTCAGAGTTTATCCAATGGCTCAATACAAGGAATCCTTTCAAATTTCCATACTATGTCACACTATGTGCCACTCAGAGGCCAAGTATAAAACACAAATACTAGTTTCTAAAATAAATATCCTGGTTTTGCTTTAACACGATGTCAGGGTGAGAGGTCACTGATTTGTGGAGAGTCTTAGATGACCACTCCTTTGTTTGGTTTCCATACAACAGGATGCTGAAAATACCTCATTCCTGAAGGCGGTGGCCCACTTTGAGTGTGGGATTATCAACACATTACTGCTTTACAACAAGTCTAAGAAAAACCAAAGGTAGAAAATGATATATTACAAAGATAATGACTAATTTCTATTCATGCTATATGCAGTGGTTTTTAGGTAACTGAATGATTTTATGGAACATACTATAAGTCACAGGTTTAGTTTAGTCATGTTTTAATATGCCTCCTTTTACCTATTGAGGGTAGTAGTGTAGAGTTTTATGCATATTATTGGGACAAGACTTTAAACATTTTGCATTGATTTACTTTTTAATTCAATGTACTTCCTTGTTTAAAAATTATTTTATAGCAACCTTCTATTAGTATTTTAGCTATTTTATTTAAGAAAAGTTCATGATGGATCTGTATTTTGTTAAACCAAAAGTATTCTTTTAACTTTATAGATACATGAGAGAGGAAAATTGAACAAGGGGTCAATTAGTAGATTAGTTTGGTATTGCTCTGTGTTCTTCCTGGGTTCCTCTCACAGATTAAACAGATTCTGATAGTTTAATTTGCTATCAGAAATGAAAATGAGAAAAAATGGCCTTAATTGTGTGTGTGCCTCGCGATAGACTGGCATTACATCCAGGCTGTATCCTGCCTTGCATCATTTGCTTGCTCCCTTCGACCCTGAATTGAATGTAGGGGTTAGAAAATGGATGGATGGAAGTGTCTATTCATTGAAGCAATCTTGTACTGTAACTCCTACTGAAAAAAATACAAAACACTTCACAATCCATGCATGACCCATGACAGACGTAAAGGGAAATCATCATAAATATTAGCTGTGTGAACAATAACAAAAATTACTCAGAAGCAAGAAGACAAAAGCATGTTGAGAAGCACTGTGTAATTAAAAATCTTGTTCTCTCATAGCTAGTGTTGCAACTAGTGTAAGCAAAAGTTTTTTCCATCTTTGGCATTATATGTTAAGAACTCAGAATCAAAGCAAGGTTGGGTCTGGTCAGTATTTAGATGTGTGTCCTCCTAAGATGAAACCAGGCTGCTGATGCAATTGATGCTTGCGGATGAGTATGTGGCACCTTCTGGACCAGAATTACCACTGCAGATTTTTTTTGTGAAAAAACAAAGCCGGAGTATGGTGACTCTGTGGCACTATGCGGTAGATAGTTCTGTCCTTCAGATGACACTTTAAAACAAGGTTCTGACTACTTGGTCCACTCTGGGTTTATACAATCTAGAGTTCCTGAAGATCCACTCTAATTCAACCATTTCTCATTTTTATACAGTGCATGATCTACAATGTAGTGAGGCCAACCCAGTTGGGTTCTGAACCTCTGTGAGGAATGTGTTCTGTTCTATGCGTAGACATTTTAAAACCCTCTGGGTTAAAAAAATTATTTAAATGCTATCCATGAAATGCAAATAAGCTCCAAAAACATTTCTAGAAGGGTCTTCACGCCAAATAGCAATGTAATCACATTGCTGCTTTCCCATATTTCATTCTAACTTCTTAGTTATAAGAACAAGAAGAAGAAAAATTTATGAAGTGCCAACAGAATTATGTAAAACATTTTTTTAAATCAAACTTTTGTATACTGATATAATTATTCTACTTTGTGGAGATATAATGTCATGTCATGTCATTTGCCAAACAGCTTTATACCATACAGTGATGCGGGAAGCTGGAGCCTACCCGGGAAGCAACGAGCACAATGCGGGGTACACCCTGGACAGGGCACCAGTCCATCACAGGGCAAGTGCAAGCCAGTCATACCAGGGGACAATTTGGAGACCACGGTAAAGACCGAGGGGGGAAATTTGGCCTGGACAAAGGGATAACTCCCTACTCTTGTCAAGAAATGCCCGGGGATCTTTAATGACCACTGAGAGTCCGGACCTCGGTTCAACGTCTCATCCTAAAGACAGCGCCCACTACAGTATAGTGTGCCCGCCACTATACCAGGGCATTAGGAGCGGTGGCTCTGTGGCTAAGGATCTGTGCCTGTGACTGGAAGGTTGCTGGTTCAAATCCTGCAGCTGGCAGAGGAATCCTACTCCGTTGGGCCCCTGAGCAAGGCCCTTAACCATAACTGCTCCAGGGGTGCTGTACAATGGCAGACCCTGCGCTCTGACCCCAAGCTTCTCTCCCTGTCTGTGTCTCCATGGAGAAAAGCTGGGGTATGCAAAAAGACAAATTCCTAATGCAAGAAATTATATAGGGGTAATAAAGAAACATTATTATTATTATAAGGACCCACAAAGACCGCAGGGTGTGCGCCACCCAGTGGTCCCACTAATACCACTTCCAGCAGCAACGAGAGCTTCCCAAGAGGACTCCTATCCAGGTACTGACCAAGCTCAACCCTGCTCGGCTTCAGTGGATAGCCAGTTGAGAGCTGCAGGGTGATATGGCTGGCTGGAGATATAATATTTATCCTAAATTAGGGGGACGTTTTCTTAACCTTTTCAATTTAGTACAAAGAGACCACAGTGTCAGCATATCTCATATCTCATACAGTATAAAGCTAGCATTTTTTAAAGTACAACAGCTGCATCAGATTCTTATTCTATCTTCTGGGAAGAGTACTCTCGGCTGTTCTGATATGTGAGCCCTGCGATCCAGTTATGAAATGCTCTTGATTCTAGAAAGTATAAATGTACACAAGTATTGGTCGATTGCAAAAATAACTTTTACAATTATAGGCAAAAACCTTAAAGATATGAACAACATAAATTATTTTAAAACACAACCATCCTATTGTAACTTGTAAGCTACATATTTAAGCTAATATATTTAAAAATTAGAAAACAGCTGAAAAGGAAATATGCAGTCAATTATAATTTCCAACTATTCTCATCCAAAACAAAATCAATAATATGAATGAATTACCTTCATTTTTATTAAGGAAAATAAAAAAATACAATTTTCTTACATTACTTTTAAAGCATACAGTGACACTCATAGTCGTAATTAAATATGCTATCTTTATGTTACATATTAATGCAAAAGATACACCAATCTAATTCAATTTTTTAAATAGAACAGTGTACCAAGAAGAACATTTGGAGGGACTTAAATACAAGGTTGATCTTTACAAGCGAAGGAGAAAATCACCTGTTTGTGTTTATAAACCTAGAAACCTAAAAGAAATGTGTGAGCAATAACTGTGAATCTTTGTTCATTTGGGTAGTTATAACATGAAGATACCAAAACATACCAATAAATAAAAGCAAACAAATGGACAAAATGTTTCACTATAACAGAGACCAACTCAAAGAATGATGGCAGAGCAGTTTTGTGTTCCTGGCACATTATTCTATTATCCTATTATTGTGTTTACATCCTAATTCTCTTTTAACTGAAAAAGCTCAGTGCTTCCTGTCTCTTCCTCTGATTACACTCTGATGATGCCTACAAATTCCCTTTATTGAAAAAAAAAATCTACTGCAACAGAAACATTTTCTAATTTTTGTTTCCCTCTGCTTTATGAGAGCTACAGTGACACTTACATTTCAATGCTTTTAAGATGGTGGTCTTGAAAAAATACCACCCCTACAGTAATGCATTTGAAAGAAAAGAGGATTTAACATATCAAAAAGCCAATGTAAGATTTCATCCTGAAGTCCGCCAGGTGCTTTATTCTTGAAGGCATATTGTCAGTTTGACTCCAAACATAGCCTCCCACTGTATTCTGATCCATTCCACCAGGCCTTTCTGTAGCTCAGGGCTCTCTGTCCGCAGCTGCCATGTTTTCTCATCCTTTGCAATCTAGCACAAAAAGAAATAATTTATAATGAAGATCACAAATGAAAAAAATATGTGCAAGTGGCTGTGATAATGAAATTGTTTTCTTTCAGGTATATTACCACTGTTTATTGACTCGATTTCATAGCACTTTTCACCTCAAGAGATCCAAAAGCATTTTGCATATAGGATTTAGGATTAGTTTTATTTTTTTTTCATGATGGTTTACATCACCGATATAGCGGACTTTGCCGGGATTTGTTAAGCATCACTGAAGAGAACGTTTAGTTTATAAATTATGATAATTATTTTCCTTAACATAAATTACTTATTTCAGAAATAGATTTAGCATCTACTTTGCTTGAAGTTTTTTTAAATGATTTATTTTCTGAAAACTTAAATGCACCAATCTGTGTATGTTGTAAGTTTACTGCATGCCAGAATAAAACTTTGTCCTGGGGAATGCCCAACTTCATTTTAAATGACCTAAGAGCTCATTCACACTTTAATTTAACTAGGCAACACCTTAACATCTGTGGCATTTGTATTATTTCTCTTACCTCATCGTAAAGTTTTATGCTCACTCTGCATTGGTCTGATGAAAACAGATGAATGGAGCTCACACAGCTTATCGGCTGTGTCTCTTGGACTTGAATTTTCTCACCAAGGGACTCAGTGTTCCCACTGGATGCCTGGCTGGGCAAGGTCTTGCTCCATTGGTGGTCTTCATTGAGCAGGTATAGGGTGTCTTGAGTCACTAGCAGAGTTACTGGAGCCACAACATCAACTAAAAATAGACACATTTGCATTCTAAAGTTTTCCTCTTCCAGTAACCAACAACACAGTTTTGCTTATATTATCACAAATTCTGGTTGTACAACAAAGAATGCAAGATTTGAGCAAAACAACTGATTTTTGAATATATACTTCTCTCATAGCTTCTCTCATCTTGTTTGTCGAAAATGTGCCAAAGATTCACAACCAACACAGGGAGTTTTATTTATTTTATTTCAATCTTTCAGGTCATGCTCCTGGGGACCAAAGGCTTTTTTTGTAGTTTAGGATTTGTTTACCAAAACTCCAGGAAGCTGTGGATCTAGGAGGCTTGATATAATGTTTTAGCACATGTAAGAGGTATTTTGCTGAAGACAGTGTAGGGGGTCTTCAGCTTTTGTTTTCTTAAATTAGCTACAGTAAATATAATATCCTTTGTGAAGAGCTTGAGCTTGCAGCTTTAAGCCACATGCCTGTTGTCAAATAACTATCATCATTAACATCAAAAAGCACATGGAAATTATAGCCATTGTTTATTTGTAATTAAAGAAAGAATGCCCTGCTTTGCATTTCCTGGCTGAGTGTATTACCTTACTAGTTTGAGGGTTACAAGTCAAATAATTTTCAATTGAACAGATCATAACAAAACACTGAATTCACTGGAATTGAATTCTTGTTTTGAAGCTTGTGCGACATACTAAATAATATTCTTTTTAATGTGATATTACTATACTTAACTAACTTAAGCAAAATGTTTAGGAGTGATCAAAGATGCTGTGAGAAAGAAACCTTATAACGGAATAAACCTATCACTATGTATTTGACTACATACAGTATTTCTGTGACACCTACATTTTTCCCTTTGTTAGAAAAGGCACAATACTTTGTATTATGATGCTTGATACATTATATATATTGTGAAGAGTATCTCTAATTTTTCAATGCATTAGCTCTGGGAGATGCCAAAGTTTAATTACTTGGAATTCCTTTTATTTTTGCAGACATACTAATATAATTTTCTGTCCTTGTGTTAGGCTTTGCAGGATTGACACCAGTAATTTTAATGTAGCATACACAAGGGTATATCATAAGCTAGTGGTAATAGCTTTTTTCTGATAACTAAAACTACATTATTGATGATAATTATTTATTTATAAGTTTTATTTGTGGCTAATGCGTGTGAGATCTAACTGAATGTTTTTGGTGTCTTTTGAATAACTGTGATGCCTTGATAAATTAAATTTTCTGCTTCTTACAGTAGTTTGTTGAATTCTCTAAGAAAAATATGGCACAAATTTGTGTTTCACAAGATAATTTAAAGTTTTATAATATTGTTTTAGCATAAAATAAAATGTCAATGCTGAGAAAGCACACAGTAAAATCATAACAACATAAAGCAAATGTGATGTTCCACAACCCTAAGCTTGGCTTTTTATTTGAAAATCTGCTCACACATCCCAATCCCCCTTAGAAAAGGCAACTGTACCTTTCAGTAAAAATGCCAGGAGATAAAAGAATTGAAGCTGACAGTCTTCGGGAGCATCTGCTTCGACATTCTCACAAAGCAGGGGCCTAAACAACACACAAACAAGGATGATGACTTTGAATTCTTACATTCCTCCCATTTTCAATAATGGCTTAGAGTGATACAAGTTCACAGTGAGCCAGAGCCTAACCCAGAGCAGACGAAGCAGATAAATGGGCAAAAGGCAGGATAAACCCTGGATGGGATGGGCTGATGGGCTTCTTTCTATAAATTCTAAAAATAATTATATTGATTTTGTGCATTTATTTATTCTGAAACATTTAAGAAATGTACCTCTGTTTAGAATCAGATTCAGTTTAACGTGTGTGTTGACAGTGTTTCTACTGAAATTCAAATCATCAAAATTATTTTTTAACACGTTTAATTTGCCTTCTGAGTAGTATCTGAGTGGCTCTGATAGTTTTGAACAGAGTAAACTTGGTTAACACTTTTTTATTCTAAAAAAACATGACTGCAACAATTAATTCTGATTAAATGTCAGACTGTATTCGTGAAACTAAATCTAGATCTTCATAAAGTTAGAAGATACAATTTTGAGTCACAACCCTGATCAAATAGCAAATCTGATTTGACATACACAAACTAAATGACTTTCCTTAGAATAAACAGTAAAACATGAACAAGAAGGCACAAGGAAACTATGTGGAAGTGAATTTAAAATGTAGAACAGGAGGCATTTCTTGCCCCAGAGGATTGTGGAACAAGTTACAAGTCATATTCTTGAAGCCGATACCTTGATTTATTTTAGGAAGCAGTTGGATAAGATCTTTTGATCAATCAATTACTAACTACTGAAAAAGGGCAGCAGGTTTTGATAAGATGGCAGCCCTTGTCTGGACCACATTCTGCAGAAACCTGTAGAGACTGAGTTGTTGTCCACAATTACCTGACTTGTTGCCGGAAGACAAAATGCAGGAAGCAAGTGCTTCCAGAGCCTATACAGTATCTACTCTCTGGAGGACGACAGGCAGATCCTCTGTGATGCAAAATCACCAGAGAGAAGAAAGAAGGAAAGTAACCAACTGAAAGATGAAGGAATCGATGAGTTTTGAGATTCTGGAAAAGTCTGTACAGAAATTTCCTTAAGAAACTGGGATAATGTGAAGACTTCAGGAAAAGACTTTAATTTGTAAGTTGTTTGTTTTTGATGCCAGTAAGCTGCTTAGCTGCCTGGCAATATTGACCGAGAGGGACTTTAAGACATTAGTTAGCAGCTTAAAAAAAGGAGGTTGCCTTTTGTTTTGGTATTTTGATTGGATTTTGTTTTCCCACACTGTAAATAAGGGAGCACTAGTATGTACCTTATGGCTGTATTTGTGTTTCTGATGTCCTGGGCTTTTTATAGATCCCATTACAGCATACCCAACAAAAGTGTCACACTACCAAGTGGGGTAGAAGGGCCTGCTCTTGTCTGTAACCTTTGTTATGTTCTTATAAGGTACGTTCTTCCATTAAATCTGTAAATCAACTGCCAGATCATCAACATTATTTGATAGTGGTTTCTGTAAATCCAGTTGACTGGAATTTACCTGAATACTTTCTGGCAAAATGAGCCATTCTGTCCGCCTTTTATCACGTGCATAAAAAGATGACTACAGGATTAATCTGTTGTTCACTGGTAACACTGGTTCTGCAATAAAATGAGGCAACCATGGTTTAAGCAAGCTTACCCAACTCTGGCTGTCCTTAGGCAGCTGAATGTCACCTTTAGCTAATATCAAAGACTGGACTTGATCAGAAGTAAAGTGAGACTTGGATTACTGGTATAGGTATATGTAATCGTATCAAAGTGCAATGCTAATGTACACTTACTGGTTTAAACGTTTGGGTGTTCTTGTGCCTTTTGTGCATGCACACATCCTTTTCCTATTAATAAATCCACATTTCTTATTACAAGTGTTGTCAGATATTTTGCCATTTCATCTTCAGGAGATAATGAGGCTTGCAAAAAGGAGACATCAACTCAAAAATGTTTTACAAGCACATCAAAACCCTTTGTTAACACATATTATTATTCCTGTTTACATAACACACATTAAAGTAGTGTTTAATTTCAGGCATTTCACTACATAAAAAAAACTATTCTGAACAGTCATGTTTAGTAAATAAAAAACAGATATTGCAAAAAATGTTTTTTTGGTAAGTATGATACTGAAAGAATCTAGTTATTGTGAAAATGTAAGCAAACAGTCCTAAAAGCTCTCTAAATGTTTACATAATGAGGTTCTGGTGTCGTGATGCTTTTAAGCAATTAGATTAAGCTTTTTTTGAGGGACTGGGAGCTGTTAAGAGTTACAATTATGTTGGTGAGAGGTGAATACAAAAAATATGTCTTTGGTAATTATCTTTTTTTAGGCTATTACCAATTTTATGCTAGTAGATACAGCATAAAGGTAATAAGCTCAACATTGTTGATGTATGTTGATGACAGGTGGCATTGTAGTGCTGGGGCCTTGTGTTCAATTCCAGACCCTGGGTTCTAGCTGTGTGAATTTGTATATTCTCCCCGTGTTCTTTTGGGTTCCCTCCCACAATCCAAAGACATACTGGTAAGTCTTAGCTTCTGGGAAAACTGGCTATGGTGTAAATGTGTGTGTTTGCATCTATCTGTATGTGCTGTGATGGATCGGTATCCCTTCCAGGGTGTATCCTTCCCGTTTCTTTTTTGAACAGAAGTTTTCTTAATGATAAGAGTAACAAAACATAATAATCTAAATGTGTTCTTTTTGATCTAAGTGACACATTATCACATGACTCTCAGCAATATTGTCTTTTTTGCTCTCAAAAAAGTGAGTCACTGGGAAGCAATTAAAACCAACTGGCATGACAACCTGATTGAGTAACATGCAGATGTAACTCCAGAACAAACAGTCTGGCCACATTAGACATTACAGAAATGATTCTCGCAAGAACATTTTGTTTACGTGTGCAATAAACGAGATGTTAGCACCAATGTAATGGGAAGTTTTGAGACTGTTCAGGCTAGCCTAATCAATCAAGTACAAAATAACAGAAATCAAACCTTGTGCTAGAGGCAGAGATACTCTGGTACCAAACCATACCACAACTAAAAATGCATTTAACAATTTACTTTAAGTCTACTGCCCAAATTAAACACGTCTCCTGTCAGATAAGGCACAAAGAAGTCTTTAACATAACAAATGGAACATAAAGCAGTTGGAAGTCAACCAGTTCACAATGACAAAATAAGACTACTTACCAGAGGTGGTGCTGTGGATTAAGTCTAGCAGTTGAAATTGATTTAAGCTTGCTGTCAGACTTCGGGGCAAGATCACGCACGATTCCTGGGCAGAGAAAACCATAGTAAAAAAATCTGAAGGGGTGAGGAATAATGGGACTCCCATTGAAAATAAATGAAAATAAACTAAGATTACGGAACAGCTTCTACCTCCAAGCAATAAGACTGCTAAATAGCGAAGCTGCAGTTCCTTTAGCAAATCACATGGCTACGTGGACTACAGTTTTCATTGTATTTGACATATTGCACTACTTGGACATAAAGTATTGCATACACCCTGGACACTTAGCAGCTCTATTTATACTGAGTTTTGTCTGAATTCTTATTTAATTTATATTGCACTATTATTATGTAACCTTAATTTGTAACTTTAATTTTGTGATTGTTTTGCATTTGATAAATAAACTTGGATTGATGGATGCACTGATGGATGGATTGATGGATGGATGGACTGATGGATTGATGGATGCATGTCGTAATGGTGACAGGCTGGACATTTCAGCTTCCCAGCTAGCTATTTTTATGCCATTTTCTCTATACGCTTCTTTTACCCAATTGATCATTTTATGCTTTGAAATTCATCTGGAAAAGATTTACTACTTATAGTGCTCTCCAACTTCCTCTTTTCCAAAGACATCTGAAACCTCTAACTAATTTTTTGTTCTGTTTTAATAATTTAAACGTTAGGAGGCAGTAAGAGCTAATTAATAAGTAACTCAACAGAATCATATACAGTAAAGGAACAAGTAATAGGTTTATTCCATGCTGAAAAGAGAAGAAAGAAAACACAACATTCCCATCGTGGAGCCTTCTTCAGCCTTCTTCACACCTGAAGAAGGCTCCACGGCCGAAACGTGTTTTCTTTCTTCTCTTTTCAGCACAAAATAAATCTATTATTGTTCCTTTGCAGCCTACGCATGCTGACACAGCAACCCACCTGAACTACTTATACTGTATAAATGCAGTATAAAATATCCAAGTTCCACAACTCAGGAGGCTTAACAGATATAGACAGAGGTCCGTATGATGTTAGGACTCCTCCTCTGCCGCCTCTCTATCCAGACATTCCTTTCAGTTTCCTGATCTTACCTTTTCTGTTCTTAAGGAACTGTTTGTGCTAAACATTAAGAAAAACTCACAAATAACCCAGGAACTTTAAGATGCCAATAAAAAATTGGCTTGGAGGCAATTTGCTCATCTTTTTCAGGATTTTAATGTTCTGAACTTTTATCATCTGAATGACTCATGAAATAAATAGACAGTAGAGTTAAAGTTCACAACCTTTTAATCTTAAATAGGATTTAACAATTATAACAATATGGGCATAAAATGTGGTTTTCTGCTAATCAAGGGACAATGATAGTGATGATACTTTGATACTACAAAAATGAGAAATTGTGTTATAAATCAACCTCTCAATTTAAGACTTATTTACATTAGCTCAGGTACGGAGTATAGTATTAATGTCTTTGCATCATATATTAAACATCTTATGTTAAACATAAATACAGGGAAATTTAGCCAAGACAGTAAGGCTATCCCATCTAAACAATGCCATGGGATCTCTAAAGATGACTATACAGGAACTTGGTTTAATGTTTCACCCAAAGGATAGAGCCTCCTACCTATAGTATTGTGTCCCATGTTAGCATACCAAAGCATTCTTAAAACAGTTCTGCTACATGACTTTTTATTACTCACACAATGGTTTACTTAGCTATTCAAATAATCATCTTTTATTTTAACAATGGAACATTGGAAATATTCTTCAAAACCCTAGTAGTGGAGTGCTAATGATACTGTGGTTGCATTAACAGTCAGTGAGACAAAAATAACAATACATCTAACCTCATCTGATAGGAGTATGCAAGAATAAACAGTTTATTGAAAGCAGAGAAGGCACCTAGAATGCTTTAAAAAACATTCTCAATTTTTCATTGTTTTCTAAGAAACATATTAACATGATGTGAAACTTTAGATTCTGGTTTTAGATTTCAACCTTATAGCACAACATGCAGAAGAAAGTGAGACATATAAATGTGAACTGAGCTACAGTAGGTACCTTACAAAACCACTGAAATGTAGTTTTTCCCTCAGAGATGTGACAGAAGAAAGACGAGATGATAAGATATCTTTAGTTACCCTGAGGTGATATTTTCAATGAATAGAATGTTATACAATTTAATCTGACGCCCTTTTTAATAAAGTTTATCAGATTGAAATCATTGTATGTCATTGTCAGTCAGTATACTTCTAAGTTTACATTCAAAGTTCTTAGTTACAGAACAAACACTAACATAGTCATGCAACACTATGAACTCATTCTGTCATTTCTAGCATTGTTTTCATGATCAATTATAACTGACACCTCTCCAGTGAAAGAACCTCCATATGAAAGAGATGGTCAGGCTTCAAACTTTAAAAGTGGGTTTATGCTAACAGTGGGTTTCTTTTGTGGGTCCCTTCTTAATCCTTCAAGATTTGTTCTTTTCACCAACACCATTCCACTCTTTCTGTTACAAATAAGATCACTAAGCCTCTGCTAACCCATATATTTCCGATAAAGGGCTTGAAACCACACTGCAAACTGTTTAACTACAACATTTATGTCATGGATATATGAGAATCTTGGAATGGGATAGAATTAGTCTGTACAAATATATTTTTAAATTAAACCAATTTACAGTAAATCTTTTGTCTGCATTAATATGGATACAGTAACTACCAATGTTACCTTAATTGGAATCATGGTGCAATATAGCCAAATAAGCTGTGATGAAACAAGGAAGGACAACTAATAGTTGTAGTCCCAAAAACACTCCATAAACAACAATATTACACTGATGTAGACTAAGGATTTCGTATTAGAACTATTCCAGTTATAATCATAATCATAAAATATTCGAAAAGTGCACTTTTATTTGATTTAATTGTAAAAATAAACAACTATGTACCCATGCAATTTCTTTGTACCAAGGTTATTTCTGAGCATAAACAAAGATCCACTTACTGAACTTTGGACTAAAAAGTGTATCTGTGTTACAAAAGCACATATTTAAACACACATTGTCTATTTTATCTGAGGCAAAAACATGGCAAGGCTTTCTTGGATATATATCAATAGCACTGCGCCATGTTTGTATTTGCTGCAAATTCATCTCATGAAAATGGATGACAATAGATGTTACAGGCAGAAAACAGAAATGAGCCTTTCTTTGTACAGTAAGTAGTTTCCATACCCTGAAGAGATGTGTATATACAGGGATTAGGTGACCACAGTACTGGAGTCTATTACCATTCAGGAATTTAGAGCTTGGATAAAAATCTTTCCTATTCAAGTCTTGTGTCCCTAGAACTCTAATTACAGGAAACTTCATACCTGCATTTACCTTTTTTCCCCGAAATAGAACACGGCCAAAATAAATTAGTACTATTTTTAGGAAAATTATGTAAAATGCGGCATAACCTGGAATTATGCCGCATTATTAACATTATTATTAATGTTAATTAATAATGGACATTATTAAGAATCAAGCTACTCTTAAAATAAATTGAAATTCTTGTAGGTGTTGGGAACATACTGCCAAGTCAATGCTATAGATGCAGAGTATTAGCTATCATTCAAAAGAAGGCCTGTGTGGTTTTACTTCTCTCATGCCCTTGCAATCTTTTTATGAACTGTTACACCAACTAGGCTCAACTGTTGCCTTTATGTTGTTTACTCTTGGCAATGAGATGCTGAAATTACTAAATGTTGACTTTTAAAAACCTATCTGGTTTAAAACCACAGCCTAAATCTCATCCTGTGTAAATCCTTCTTGCCTGCACAACTATCAAGTAATACTTAAGCGTTGAGAAACATCTGTTAAATATCGCGTAAAGCCAGTATGGTCTGAAAAATTGTTTTGCTATGGTAAAGTTATCCTTTGGTGCTTCCCAGAGACAAATATTATAACAGCTGTTTTATTGCAACACAAAACTTGGTAAATATTTTTTTTCATGTAATACATAGCTTTCATTTCCTGGGGGGGGCAAAATTAACTATACAGTGCCAAAGCTGCACACTGAAGCAGGAAAGCTCTGTTAAAGCACTTAACTATTTAGGTTCTTCAGATGCCATTCAGAATGTAATATTCATATTTTACTCTCTACAGCAAACTGCTCTTACAGGTCTCCATGGAATTTTTCTGCTATTTATCTAAACTGTTTACATTCATTAGAGAAATATACAGAAAATATACTAATGCCAAACAGATCCCTTTAAATCTCCTTATGTTTTAAGACAAATTATATTGTTAAAATACCTTTTAAAGAATACCTTCTCATAAGTCTTCAGCAAACAAGCATCTTTCTTAAAAATGAACTTGGTACATTTAGTGCTCATTTACAAAAGGAGAAAGTGTTTCAATCATTTACTTTACCTCACTTGTCATCAACATTGTACAGTTATGTCAATCTGTGTGACAGTGAATAAAAGAACATTTTTTTCCTGGTTGAGAAAGACGAATGTCCTTTTAAAGGAAGTCTAACACCTCTAGCTCTAGCAACACAGGCAAACCTGTGGCGGAGCGGTGGCTCTGTGGCTAAGGATCTGCGCCTGCGGCTAGAAGGTTGCCGGTCCACATCCCGCAGCCGGCAGAGGAATCCTACTCCGTTGGGCTCCTGAGCATGGCCCTTAACCCCAACTGCTCCAGGGGCGCCGTACAATGGCAGACCCTGCGCTCTGACCTCTATGTGTCTGTGTGCCTCATGGAGAGCAAGCTGGGGTAGCCTGGAATTAACCTCTACTTGTTAATTTACAGTTTGTCAAACACTGTGAGAAAAAGTTCTAAAAGTTCTCAAAACGGAGTGACCAGTTAGGACAATACAGAATGTTGATTATGGATCATACTTTTCTAAGGGAATGGATTAATATCAAAATGCTTTTAATGACATTTCAAAACTACAGCCTCAAACCCCAAGTGATGACTTTCACCAAGATACTGTTGCACCAAGTAAAACAAACCTGTTTGAATACTGGGTTTGTGGTTTTGGAAATGGCAATAACTCACCAGTGAGAAGGCTGAAGAAGTGCTTGCAGCGATTGCTGTCCCGAATGAGCATGGTGTAGGCTGTCCCGCTGTCCTCAAACTCCATGTGAATACTCTGGGAGCCCAGGCCTACTTCCAGGTAGGACAATTCTGAGAGCTTATGGCTCTCGCGCTTCCGAAGCCATTCAGACGGTTGACCTCTGCCAAGAAAACAAAAACATATGCTGGAACAGGAGTATAACCTGCAATTATGTACTATTACTTTTCAACTGCTCGGATGTGTTTTTATAGTAAACCTAATAAAAAAAAACACTTTAATGTATTAGTACAATGTTAATTTGTAAATTAATTCTGACATTGAGCATGCATGTATTATATTAACTGAGAATATTATATACAACATTTCTTTAAAATCAACAAGTCACACAACTGTAATGGATAACAGGCTGTGAGCTTTATTTCACAGTCAAACTGTTCAGTTAGAGTTATATTTCGAAGAATAATTTGAATTACAAATTAGTTATCCTTAAATGGGAAACAGTTAATCTTAAAAAAATAATTATATATTAATAATTATAATTGAAAACAGAATACCTTCATTTTTGATTGGTTCTCTGATGATAATTACCCTAACACATCACAGTCCAGTACAATGTCTCAATGCTAGGGCAACCAAATAACTACAGCACAAATTAATTGAACCATTACAAAATATGATGTATTTGAGGTATCATGTAGTTAGTATGGAGGTTAACTGATGTCATAAAATGTAAACCTCTACCTTTAACTGTAAAACTTTATATTTTTATAAAGTGGGACTTTAAACTCCTACACAGACTTGCCGACTGGTATCAAAATAATTTTAAGAAAATTAATATTATAAGAAAAAGGAGAAATCTAAAAGAGGAAAAGAGGGTTTAGTACACAGGTGCCTTGTGTAATTTTCTATGAGGAAAGGTTAAAATGATAATACTATACTGATAAAGACACCTTTGAATATTACAGCATGACATTAAGCTACTTCCTCAATCATCAGAATTTTTATTCTAAGAAGCCATAAGAAAAAATATTTTCTGAAAAAAAAAGAACTAAGAAAAAACAAGAAGAACGTCATATGTTCATTATGAGACATTCTCTAGTGTTTATGACAAAGACAAAAGAGTAGACAAAAGTAATTAAACATAATTTTTAGTTATGTATTTTATATTAGAACTCCCACACATCACACAGATCTGCAAACCTACATTTTCAAGTAATGAAATCACATTAGCACATACAGAAATGATCATACTTGTTATTTGATTTTTTTTAGATGGAAAGAGTTTTACAAAATATAGTGTGAATGCAATAAAAGCTTTTCTATATAACATAAGTGTTATTTCCAATCAATAACAAATACATGAATCCTGAAAAAAGTGGTTTATTGGTCTATATTTTAAAAACCCAAGGTGATATTCAATACAGGAAGGTCGCTTACTTACAGTGTTTCTGATACGATTTCCAAAATGTAAATCCAACGGTCTGACACCACTAAGAGTGAAGAAAACTCTCCTGGGTCTCCATATTTCACTGTTGACATCTTAAAAGCACAGACAAGACTTGATCAGATGTTACTGTGAGAAATACATTACAAACAGAAATAAGCTTAGGCTAACATGTCCAAAAACCATTGGCAATGTCAGTACATAAAAGTAAGATTGCATTATTTGAAGAAGTCACATACTGAATTAGCATGTTTTTATTCATTTTGGATTTTTATTAAAGTTTTACAACTACAAAAACCACGGTACTGTAATTTATAACAAATGTTTGAAAAGTTAGAAATGCAGAAATTTCAATCCAAAATAAACTGTCTCTATAGTCAACTCTCTATTATCTGTTATAATGGACAATTAAAATATAATTTGAAGTAGCCAGTCAGGTTTGTTTAATGAACTAGTTTTCCCTTTTCTATTTTTTGTCTGTAGCAGTCTTAGAAATAGGTTAGCATTTAAAGGGATTCTATCTTGCAGCTCTATATAAACAATTTTTCAACACAGGTAAATAATTAATAATAATAATTGCTTACACTTATATAGCGCTTTTCTGGACACTCCACTCAAAGCGCTTTACAGGTAATGGGGACTCCCCTCCACCACCACCAATGTGCAGCATCCACCTGGATGATGCGACGGCAGGCATAGTGTGCCAGAACGCTCACCACACATCAGCTATCAGTGCGGAGGAGAGCAGAGTAATGAAGCCAATTCATAGAGGGGGATTGTAAGGAGGCCATGATTGATAAAGGCCAATGGGAAATTTGGCCAGGGCGCCAGGGTTACACCCCTAGTCTTTTTGAGAAACGCCTTGGGATTTTTAATGACCACAGAGATTCAGGACCTCGGTTTTACGTCTCATCAAAAGGATGGCGCCTGTTTACAGTTTAGTGTCCCCGTCACTACACTGGGGCATTAGGACCCACATGAGCCGTAGGGTGAGCACCCCCTGCTGGCTCCACTAACACCTCTTCCAGCAGCAGCCTTAGTTATTCCCAGGAGGTCTCTCATCCAGGGGTACTGACCAGGCTCACACCTGCTTAGCTTCAGTGGGTTGCCAGTTGTGAATTGCAGGGTGATATGGCTGCTGGCATAAAGGTTGTACTGTGATCACGTTGTACTGTACGATTAAATCTTCTCCCTCTTTCTCCATTTCACTTTCTCTTGGCTCAGTGGTCTGTCCAAGGGCAAGTTTTACAATGTGTTCCACAGAAAACAGGTTCAAATTAACTGCTATCTAACCACTACTCAATATTTTCAGTATTTATATCTCTTTCCACTTGCTATACAATGTCTGCTATCCTATCCTGAAATTTCTTATTTTTCCAAGTTATTCTTAGTGCATTCATAGATTTTTAACCATTATCTGGTCAGTGTAACTTACTGTACTTCAATCCAAATTCTAGGCACTTTATAAATCATCCAAAACTGTCAGCTTTAGCTGTATGTCATTACAGAAGTTACAGAAGTATGTCATTAGCATACTTCTGTAACAGTACAGATCAATAACAGATCTCCTCTTTATGCATACAATCACACCCTGGTCCATAGGGTACAGTACAAAAATTAAATCTGGTGACAAGTAATTTGCAAAAATATTACTATATTCTGATTTGAGGAAAGTTTTGTGTCAATGAAAAAGAGTATTATCCAGCAGCAGTACAGGCTTTTCTGTCAAGCCTTGATCAAAGCTGGGGAACAAACTTCTTGTCAAACTCTTTAAAAACTCAGACAATTGAATTTATAGTGTGTGTGGCCGGAAGATGTTGTCTAACCTTGAGAAAACACTGGAGCTCCTCAGAGTTCTCCTCAAACACCTCAACATCAAAGAAAAGCTTGAGTCGGTGATCCACAGTCTGGAAGTCTGCAACGAGCAGGTTGTACTGGGCTGAAAAACACACACTGCTTGTGATTAGCAGCACAACGGCCATTACTTAATGAATCTTAACAGAATAAATACCTTAGCAAAGTGTGATTTAAGTAATGGCAGAATGAATGTGATTAATCAAAATTTCTAAAAAGCTGAAGAACAACACTGTGAAGTTACTGTAGCTGCCCCATATCACTTTACAGCTTATATTTAATACAAATTGGCAGTTATCGCTTATTCCTGAACAGATTTAAAGAGACACTACAGACTCCTTAGTATAATGCCAATGCATTCTAATTCAGATCTGTTATTGTTTTGAAAAGCACCCCTATTTAGGATACACAGTATACATTCTGTTCCAGTGGGCATCAAAGCTCAAGAACTGTAAGAATCCATGCCAAACAACTGTGTTTTCTATTGGCACATCATGTGATCCTGGGTGTATTCACAAATTAGTCAATGTATTAGTCAATGCTCCCTTGGAAACACAAAGATGACATCATAACCATCATCAATCTCATTCAGAAACCAGAGCACGCCTGCCACCCCCAAAACACAGTCATATTTCTAAATTATATATTTAAAATGTCAGAAATAATGTCACCAAAAAAGGATAGATTTATAGTCTGTAAATTGCAATACATATAGAATGAGAAAATACGTTTTCATTTTCAGATGCATTCAACACTCACATTTGTCTGCATTTCTAGATGTATTGTATCTTAAATACAAATATTTTTATCGGCTGTGGGTTAATACTTTATCGTTCACCGATAATGCCACCTCATTGCCATGATTATTTTTAATAGCAAACTGGTTTTGTGAAAATTTAGAAAAGTCAATAGCATGGTTAATAGTATTGTTTCCCACAGTTGTAAACAGGCCAGGTGAGCTGCCTAGCCAAAAATTAGCATTACCTGGCCAAACAAATGTGACAAAATGTACACAAGAATCCAAACTGAAATACTGTTTTGTTGCAATACAGCTCAATGTCATTTGCAACTCAGCAGCTGCAATGGTACGTAATTACATTGCAAGCAAGGCTTACTCACAGTCTTATGCCATAGTCAGAAAATTTCATGCATGTCCACCAAGTCTACGTTGACTAAAAAAAACTAATGTAAAATTTTGAAATTGTTGTAGAGACCCACAATTCTGTTAATTAACCAATGTGTTTCTGTATGTGACAAAAAGAAACCATCATTACAAATAGTAATGTACAATTATTGACAGAAAATCACACATTAGAGTTTTCGAGTAATCGAGTAGAAAAAAAATATTTCCTTGCAGCTGAGTCATCAGGTCACATGCAAATACTGTAGTTTAGTCCAGTTATAATAATAAGATATCTAGTTAGTTCAAAAGCTAGTACAGTAATCTAGCTGTTAGATTGCTATAATAGGGGGTGGTTACCACCTGGCCTAAACTTGTTTGTTTTTTTTGCAGGAAACCCTGAACAGAAGAAGGCTGCTGGAGTGCCAAATGACGAATCTTTACTTATCCCCTACTGAATACAACCATTCTAGTGTCATATGTCATCAGACAAAGGGCATTCAGTAGCCAGAACCACACCTCAGATCAGGCTTTCTGTAAGAGTCAACCACAAAATTGCACTTACTATTTAACTGACAGAAAAATGCACATAATGTTAATGATTCACATGCAAATACAATATCTTAACCATTTGCAGTGAATAAAGAAAGAACACAAAATGAAAAAAGAGAGTCTTCAGAACTTCAGAACACTTTGCTGAGCTGTCTGTAAATTACCTATTATTATACTAAGTCTGTACACTGAAAGTGATTGGGATCTTCAAACTGCTCGGCTCAGCTTTCTGGCTTTTTCTGTTGCTTGTAACTATAATCTTGACTTTTTGTAGTGGGACTTTTTAAGACTAATTTCTTGATCCTAATGGGCTGGCTTTCTTACAAGAATGTTTTCAATCCTTGTGCACATTCTGGCATATTTGTAACAAAAGAATTGTAAATCTAATCTCTGTTGATATTTTTATACATTTTAAAGTTTGCCAAATACTGCTTTCAGCGACTAAACTTGCAAGCATCATCATACTGAAAAAAGATGGTGAAAGTTTTCTAGGTCCTTGTGGCTACTTGTTATTTCTTTCTCCCTGTGTTTATGATGAAGCAGAAAAAAATTATTGACATCATCATCTTGATTCTACGATCAATCTTTCGGGAATTAAGGCTAATTTTAAATAACACTCTTCTGGTGCCTAGCTCCTTTTGTTTATTTAATAAATCTATAAATTATTAATTAATTCCTTTGTTTGTTAAATTTTTAAATAATCAATTCACTAATCCACCAGTTCTCACAGTATTATTAATTCATTTGTCTATCACTTCTAACCAAAGTGACTTATATTTATAATAGTGTACAGCAGTGTACAGTATATAAGATTAATGGGCCATTCAGAGTGAAGTACCTTGCTCAATGGTACAGTATAACAGCAGAGACTTACACCCACAACCCTTTAGTTAGTTTAAAGACTTAAGCACTACTGCACCCTGCTGCTTCAAGCCAACCACCCCAGAGCTTACCAGGACTTGACTGCTCTGTGTGTTCTGCCTGAGACTGAAGTTCCTTTGGTGGGCTGTAGCAAAAGCTCCCAGTCAGATCCTCGACATTAGCAATGACTTTTCCTGCTAGCCCATTGGAAAAAGAGCTGTCCTTGCACGTCACGGTGTTCCCATCTGTGCTGTGGAAACTGGCTGGTTGTTGGCATTTCATGTCTCCCCAGCTCTCTCCTTCTCCTTCGGTCTCCTCTCCAATATAAAATGTTCCACTTTTAGCACTGTAAAAGCTGTCCACTGCAGAATCTAACTGTGCAGATTGCTCCTTTACTTGTAACTTTCCATTTTCAGTCCTTGCTTTATCTGATGCTACTGTACTGCAGACACTACTATAGCCAATGGGACAGTTTGTATGCATTTGTGACTCCTAAAAAGGGAGATGAGCAGCAGGTTAATTTACAATATGGTGTGCAGCCTGAATGCAATGTCAAGCCTCATTGTCTGATTCAACATTGATCACAACTCTTTTTTACACTTATTATATATACTCATAAAACTCAAATATTTATGTATTTAATATTTTCTAATACTCAGTACTTACTAGATTAAACGGTCATTATGGTATATGAATAATGTTTAGTTTTCACAGTCATAACAGAAATTATACCACTGCTAAGATGTACTTTGTTATTCATAAGTAATTTCATTAATAAGCACCTCATTTTAATAACATAATTTATAATAATAAAACACACAATTTTATGGTGTATATCTAGCTTCTCATGGGGTCAAGCTATTCTGAGAAACAAACATGAAAATAGTTATTGTGTAGAAGCTTCCATTTGTTATTTTTAGAGGTTTTCTAGTTATTACATATTACAGTACTGTAAAAGCACTGTGTGAAATTTACACACAACAAAGCAGAACACAAATATCTGGAACAGACTGCTAATCAAAGACAAAAGTTTGGCAATCAACCAAAAAAAAAGAATTATAACCCTAGAACAAATAGGAATCAGAAATTTTTAATTAGTAATGTAAACAATATAAAAGTAATTTATGATTCAGGGAATATATATATATATTTAGCAAAACCTCTTTAAACATGAAACATTTTCCTTCTTGAATGCTGGATGGAGAATATGACTCCCTAAAAACTGCTGACCCATACATAATCTTGTGGTCATTTGATATGTTTTGAACTTTATAAACTCACAAAGATTACAATATCAGACTGATACCCCAAACCCAGCGATGGAAAGGACTGACCTCTATATCTATGTGAGCACTGCTATCAACAAAGGTGATCTGCAGAATGCTGAAATTCTGCTCAGATTGAGATTGGACAGGTGTGCTTGTATATTGATCTGACTGGCCAGGAAGCTGCACCACATGGTCACTGTTGCATTCTGGGCAGATAAGAGCATTTGCAGCAGCATCTGTGATGGAAAACAAGTGAATAAAACTTACTTCCATGGTGAATATTCAGATAGGACAGATGAATAAAAAACAAGCATAAAGCTGAATTGTAGATAAGACGTACCGTAGCATCACATACTGAGAGAAGGAAGAGGAAATTAATGGAAAAAAAGTAATCAACCCTGCTCATTCACCAACGTACTGGTAACCTTTTCCATTTACAAACATATGACTCAGCTAAATATGCTGAAATGTTTAATGATTTCAATGATATAAATAGTAAGTGTTTACAAAATGAACTGTCTCATAAACATTCCAGATTGAGTCACTGAAGATGAAATTACATGAAATGAAATTAAATGCATGTTCAGACCATCACAATGATTTTGATGTTTCAGAACAATAACCAAATTATTTTAATTTTGAAAAAACTTAACATGGAAACTAATTTCAGTTTTGACAGAACATGTAGCAGTGTCAAATGCTAGTCAGTTTGACTTCTTTCTCAATAAAAACAATCTGAAGAAGGCTTCACAGCTGAAATATTGTGTTTTCTCTCGTCTCTTTTCAGCATGGAATAAACCATTACCTCTTCCTTTGCAGACACCACATGCTAATGCAGCTAGGAACCTGAACATCTTTAAGATGCACTTGTCTGGATTTTCATCATGCAAAATCCATCTTAATTGCTATTTTTGGTACAAAGCATCTTCATACTAATTTAAAACAATCACAAAACTGATATTGAAATCCACTTAGTCATGAATCACTTATAACAGTATTAATGGTTAAACAAACTTTTGAAAATTATTTAATTATCTATTTAAACCCCAAAGCCAAAGAGGAAATGCAGAAGCACCTACTGAACAAAACAGATTACATACACTCCTTGAAGAGATATACTGTGCATTAATGTACTGTACAGTGTTTTATGTTCCGAGTGGCCAAGGTAGTAATGGAGGCTAAGTACAACAGTAATGATCCTTTGTAGCATGTAGCTATTCTAACCAAATACACAAACAAAAATAGCAGACCATATCCAAGAGCATAAGAACAAAATCAGAGGAAAGTGTTATTGTGAGCTTTGTATGTTTATTCTCATATGGCGGTGTCAAATTAGAAATCGTTCTTCAAGAACACTTTTAGCTCAAGGAAAGCAGAAACATTTAATACTTTAAGATTA